GAGTATTTTCCGGATTGACAGATATTTCTGTTGCATTACAAGTTTCGAAATAAAAGGTGCGCAGTAGCAATATGTTCTTTTTAATACTGCGTCAGCAAAAAACACTGTAATTATCCGCGGAGATAGTGACGCGAGCGACTATGCCCAAATACGCTATCAGACTATTAAAATATAGTACGGAGAGTTTTTGTGAAAATGTTCATTTGACATTGACACAGTTTAGACCAAATGACTATAGGATTACACAGAGAGCACATCTCAATATACATTATATAGACTTGTTGATTTATTGTGCCTCATGCATTGTACAACTTTACTACCGCCGGTAGAGAGTCGATCCTCGTACTAAATTATTCCATTATTTCCAATAAACAATTTCTGACTATCAAATCAAAATCATCCATACAAAATAATATGATGTTGCCTTGCTACAAGCTGCTCTGATCTGGTCTGCTATGTGGATATGACCGTTCAGGACTATCGGAAATTCATTGGTGGATAGAACCAATAAGTCCGGACCTGTAAACGATGGTGCGCGCTGCCTACCGTATCCGATCGCTTATGTGTCAAAGGCTGAATATTGTACTGGGGATTTCGCCTGAGTGTAACTTCTGGGTTACATATCATGTGACCTTGGTCTAGTCACGTGACAAACGACAGAATGCGCGCCATACGTTCCACTGGAGCGCGTTACGTGGTCGTTTTGGTTACATTCCAAATTAACTTAACTAAGATACCAACCCACTTCTATTAAAAATTGAGAATCACAAGGGGGCCGTCAAAAACATATTAATGGTCAATCGGTCAATATAGCATAGGGCGGTAACAAAAGGCATACCGTGCTATGGAACGTATTATACAGGGTGTCCTTATTTTCGCTGGACATAGAAGTACGACGAATTTTAATATTCAAAATAAGTCGATTGGACATGATTTACCTTCATGCAAAAGTGATTCGTTTGTCCATTAGAGGACGTCAGCTTTCTTTTTAAAACACATTTTCTCAGATATTTTTGGAATCGATTGTCCGATTTTAATGAAATTTGGCACACCTGTGTGTTCTGCTAGACTTCCTAATATTTGACCTTTACAAAAAAACATGCCATCTCGCATAGTTTTCGAAAAAAAAATATTTTGCGGAGCTAGTTACTTAGAAATTTTCTTATGAAATCAAATGCTAACATCTAAACTGTATCCATCGAAGAAACAAAGTAAAATCAAACATATACACCCGTATTGCACGTGATCAAGAACTTAACCGTAGGAGACGCTACAGGGCCGTATCAAGCTATTGTGACTGATCTATCAAAAAATGTCGTACAAGATATGTGTTGCTGTAAATTCTATCAAAAGCATGGTAAATTATCAGGAATACCACGCCTTTCTAATCATATTTCGACATTAGGAATCAGTGCAAAAAATTCTGTATTCACCATTTCAGCAAAATGTTACTAAAACGCACACGAAAAACACTTGTGGACCATCTCAATTGAAATTGTTCATATTTTATTATTAACTTACATATATACCCAATAATATTTACAAATCAACCTTCTATTCACAATGCAGAGCAAATTTTTTTGAGCAAATAGAAACTACAGACGTAGTAGTAGTAGTACAAAAGTTTATTACAGACTCCATAAAGTTTGTTAGTTTGATTGCTATTAAAATTTACATGAGAAATAGGAAGAAGGTCAAAATGGCACTATTATGCTTTGGAACTCCTAAATTAACCCTAATTTTGTGTAATTATAAATTTGGAATTTCCACATTAATAACTAGAAACTTACACTTTGATTGCAGTCTATAATGAACTTACCTGTCTTGCCAAAAAGCCCGTTAAACTGCCAGTCTTAATGGTATCAATCGATTTATATGCTGTATTCCGAGGAGCTTGAATCATCAGAATTGTTGATGTCAATTATAAGGGGTTCAACTTGGGTGTCAATGATATTGTCCATATCCCACATTTTGGTTTCAACCTTCTCTTGGACATGGTCAATACATGTTCTCCATTTTGCTGGCGTAATTCTATCGACAGCAACATCAAACAGTTTTTTAAGGTCAGAAAACTTAAAAGTGCTGTTATTTGACGCCACGTATTGCTTGATATCGGCCCAAATCAACTCGATAGGATTCAGTTCGCAGTGATAGGGAGGCAGCCTGAGAATCGTTTTATTTTGGTTTTTGGCCATTTCGTCAACAATTTTTAAATCATATTTATACTTATGTCGCTTGACTATATTTATCAGCTCAACTTTGACCATTGTTTGGTCGAAGTCGATCTTCTTTGAGACAAGCCACTGTTGAATGTCTGCCTTTTTGGTGGCCATTGTTGGAATTTTTTCCAATTTTCTGGAGTGGTACGGGGCATTATCCATCACAATAATTGCGTTATCATCAAGTGTCGGCAAAATTTTTTTGAACCAATTTTCAAATGAGTTACCATCCATTTCTTCGTGATAGTCTCCAGTTTTTTTGGATTCAAATGCCCACAATGCTTCAGGAACAAATCCATCTACGCTACCTATGTGGCAAATGATCAGGCGTTTTCCCTTGCATGAAAGTAATTAGTTTTTTTACTTCTCAGCGAGCGCACTAAATGACAAAATTAAGCAACTTACTCTTTTTAGGTTAGTGTAGGATAGGGTCTTAGATTAGTTTTTGGGTGAAGGAAATACTCAGAAACTTGGATGAGATAGCAAAACTGAGTTCGGAGCTTCCAAATCATTGATTCGATCAGAAAATGAATTATCTGCATCCAAAAAAGTTCATATACTTCGAAACTTACCTGCAGGATTTTTCAATCCCGTCGAAAGGCCATCTAAAAAAGCCTGCCTTGAGAACCTCACAGATCTGTCTACCCAAACCTTTCCCTGTGTATGCCCCGCGTTCACCCATGTTTCGTCTTAATAATAAATTTTTCTTCCTTCAGCGCGGAATTGCCTAATTTTTCTAAGGTATTCTCTCCTCCAGATAACAATTTCCTCCTTTTCTATCAATAAACTATTCCTTCCTCTTTTCAAAAATCGAAAGTCTAGTTCTTTCAACAGCTTATGGAACGTAGATCTTTTAAAATTTGGCAGGTCCTCATCATCATTCACTTGCTTCAATATTTTATCTATTGTAGGTATTTCATTCCTGAAGAAAAAGTGATGTACTTTTCTTCTAATGGCACTTTTGTCAAAGTCATCTATTTTTTCGATGATTTTTTTTCTCGCTGGATATGTTTTTGGCTCAGATAGTGAGTGATTTTGTCTATATTCCTTCAAGATTTTGTAAACACTTGAGCGACCTACTCCAGAAATTTCAGCAACCTTACATACGATATTTTCTATAGCCAAACCACTATTCTCTTGCATCTGCTTCTTGTAGATATTTAGAATAATTTGTTTTTCACCTGCGCTGAGATTAAGCTTTTTAGCCCTTTTTCTGGGTGACGTTAAGCTGATTTCAACCACTTCATCAGCTGTATCTGTGTCAGACATTTTAGACTAATATTAAATTTCCGCAAGAAAAATCAAGTCAAGACGTGCATAAAACGTTCGCGCTCATAAACGGGTATCCGTAACTGATTACAATCCTGTGCGTGGTGACGAACCATCAACGTGATGCTGAGAGTTCCCTCTACTATGCAGCGTTGCCAGGCTTAATGTCACAATGATCATGTTTTATTGGGAAAATTGTCAGAAATCGCCGAATGTTGAACAGAAACATTACAAGAAGTCTAACCTTGAAATGTGAGTCTACAAATCGATATTCTTATAGGGGGGAAGGGTAGGGAGCTGTTATGGTTCCTATTAACCTTGGTGAAAGTTGGAAACGGTAATATCATATATGGCATACATTCGGTTGAAGGTGTGTGCACGGAAAATAGATTGCGGATATTATTTTAATAGATAAATCTGCACAAAAAAACACAAAAGGAGATTTTTGTATTTCCCTGAAGAATATCTCAAGGTTATTTCAGATGTACTCATCGAAACTTTATGGAAGGATTATCGAAACCTTATTTTCAATTGCGATAGGGCCACATACCTCGACATCGCATTAATGTGAAAAATAAGACAATAGAAAAAAATTCCCTCACTGATGCTATCTCTTAGGAAAAATTTAACTATAAAGATTGCACAAAAATTTTCTTCACCTTTTTGAGCTTGTTTTCGCATCTCCGTATATGCCGTTCATAATTTGCTGCAGATCAAATTGGAATATACCTTTGTGATGCCATTTATTGTTATATAATGTCCTTTACAACAGTTATTGCACGTATTGCACTAACAGATTGATTTGTGATCCATGCGAATGTGATCAACCACTCTGGCGAAAACTCGCCGAGCGTGGCAACCGTGCGACTTTGTCTGGAGGCTCGTCGCTACAAGCCAATCAGGAAGAGGCCCACAGAGCGCCATGGCTACCGATCACGCGTTGATCACGAATCAACCACTGTTTACGATTACTTTGTAGCTTCGTTAGATACACTTTAGTAGGCATCTGGTTGGCGAAAATGTGGTATGTTATGTGGGATATTATTAGATGAAGTGTCTCTGAATGTAAGAAGAGACATATTTTTTGTGCATAAAATGGTGCACCGCCTCACTTTTCGCGTGCTGTAAGAAATTACTTGAACGAAAACTGTTTGGTGTATGGTAAAGAAGTTTCTATTCAATGGCCACCTCGTTCCCCTGATCTTAGTCCTTGCGATTTTTTATATGGGGAACGTGAAAAACAAAAGTACGCGAGGTTCAGATAAGACAACGCCAATCAACTATGGGACAGGATTTTGTATAGCGTATTAGGCCGTGAGGTTCAGGGGAAGGCCCCAAAGCCTCCATTCCTCTTGGATTCGCCAGTGATAAAAATTTAAATAGAAATTATCACAATCTGTTGCTATAAACATTAGACTTTGATGAGCCTGTTTGATAAAGTGAAAAATGGCAATTGAGCTTCATTTTATGACATTTTTTTATGTCTCCTACTCAATGTGTATCATTGTCTAGACTGTTGGTATACAAGGAGTGATCCTCCATAGACAAGCTAGAGAGGTTATAATGAATGTATACAAATTCATGAAAGAAGAAGCCCAATCTGGAATTAAGATTCCAATATCAAGATATAGAGAGCGAGTTCTAGCAGCAACTGGGATTTCAAAATGTACCTACACAAGAATAACCAGTAAAGAATATGTTTATGGACAACCTCCTCCTGTTAGAAAAAAGAAATGTGGTAAGATGAACGTATAGTGTATTTATTATTCCATTTTTTTGTCATATAGATATCTCCAAGTAAGGTTTTCCAAGAATATGGTTACACTATTTTTCAAGATTTTTTAATTTACTTTTAAAGTGAACCTCATCATAATGCTACTTCTGGAAATATTTCTAGATCAAAAGGTACATCCAAAAACAATATAAAATTTATATATACATAAGTCTCAAAATGTTTTTTTTATCAAGATACGACCTGTGAAAATTTGTATGTCGTGATCATTATGAACAAAACATGCATATGTTTCAAGCAATGTTGTGTGTCGCAGAATATACTAGACGAGTATACGATTTTTAATGTGAAACTTGACTTTCTTCAATATATTTCCAGAGCAAAATGGATTTCAGTTTTTTATATGGATTATATCTCAATAATGAAACCAAAAAGTCTGGCATAGAGAATGGCTTTCTTTCTTTTGCTGTAGCAAACTGTCCTGGTTTCAATTCCACTGATATAATTTGAGCCTTGAAAAAACAACAGAACTTATGATTAGGTTTACATTTACACTGAGTACAGTTTTTACCAATATGCTTTGAATGTTGCTTCTTCAGAAACAAGTGTAGAAAATGCTCCCGTTCAGACAGTACAAGAGGAAGACAGTTTATATAGACCAAAGATCAACAGAGATGCTTCTACTAGGGATGGTGTATATGATTTGGATGACGTTATCCCTAATGGCGTACTGGATACGCTGATACCACAAGCGTCTGCTGTTTTGAACAGTGGCGATAGCGTCGATGAGTACCAGTAAGTTTTTTTAATACATCCACGATATTCACTTACCAAATAACATAAAAACATATTGTATAAGCAGTCTATTTAAGAGTTCACTGTGTAGTTTAAGGAGTCGTTAGGGTAGAAAATATTGATAGTTAATATGTGTTGATAGAAAGCGATATCCGAACTTTTTTCCACCTCCGGCTCTTGACCTATCATTGGACTAAGGATAGATATATATTTAGGCACACATTATCGTTACGTCACAGAACTCAAGACCACAAACAGTGTATTTATACATAATGTACGTATGTGATTTTAAATTATAAGTCTAGAGTTTGTGTGATTGTTCCATGTTCAGGTGACGTGGCATTAATGTATTTCGGCCACTATGGGTCATTCTAATACTGCCTGGTAAACATCTTATTTGTTACCTGAGTAACGACTTAGACATCAAATAAGGTTAACGTTTACGTTCGCCGCAATGGTAATGTGATTGCTCATAACTCTCTAATACCTCATGCTCTTCATTTTAATATATTTTTCACTACTAACCTGACAAATTATTGACCGTGAGAAGTAACGTTTCCCTAGGTAAATCATGATAGTAAAAAAGCAACTAGGTGAATGATGAATATATTGGAGTGTACACAATGATTTATGTTGAACGAGTCTTTATTCAAAAATCAAAATTACATGACAGTTAAAAACAAACATATACAAGGAGATATATTATATTTTTACATGTGAATGGACATTTAAAATTGTATTTTTTGAATTTCATTTTGTCAGTTTCGCAACTGGACATTCGAAACATTGAAAACGACTAAAGAATAAGTAATGTTGAATACAGATTCTCAGTCCTTGAGTAGCTATCCTTTTTAGTTACCTCATTAATCGGCATAATATTGGCAAAACGGTTACAATAGTCCTATTTATAAAATGGACCAGTCCAAGTAGGCTGTCTGTGACATTAATTAATGACAATCAATTTGACAACACATATACCAAGTATTAGTCAAATATGTTGGAAGCGTGATGATAGTGAAATCAAATATTCTGCGACATCAGGATTAGTAATGAAAAAAATTCTATACATACCTCGTTTGAGATTATTTTGTCATCGGCACTATGCGCGTCAAGTTATAAAAGCAAAAATGAGATGATTTACACCTTTTTACTGAGATTTAACTTTCGTTTTAGACTTACACCATTTTGCACAGATAGCATAAAGAAAATTTTAAGTCTGAATACGCCAGAAGAGATAAAAGTTCGCAATATAGCGATATTCTTCTATATAAATTACTTGATCAAGTTTATGAATACGCCATTCAAAAATATTACAAAGAGATACGTGGCGTGTGATATATCGCAAGAAGTCAATAGACATATTTTGGATAACTTTTGTGTATATACACAGAATGGAAGGCAAGTATAATTTGTTGTTTTTATTGAATATCATTGTCACTTACTTCATCACTTCTAAATTATAATTATATTCCGGCCTCGTCTCGTACATATAACAGGTGTAGTCACTCAGCGAACAAAAGCGCGAACCACGCCCTCCCATCTTACTCCTCCACGGCCCCTGGTCTACAAACTCTCATTCCTTGATCTCGTGCCGTGCGATAAACGTCGAGTTACTCGAGTTGGCGCACCGATTTTTACGAGGTTCCCAAACAAAAGAAACGACAAAGGAACAGCTCCTCGTACGAGCAATCGCTGAGCACAAATATTACACAACTGGAGTGGAAGTGGGTCGATACTTATGATGTGCATTTTCGCCGGGACGTCGGCGGAAGATCACCTTCAAGGTTCCTTTCGTCGCGGAACAGCGTGTTTTACGTGCATCACCAACCGCCACAGATGCAAAGTCAAAAAGTGGCATGCCGGCCTCTTTTTCTGAAGGGGCTTCACCATTAGGTAATTGTCGACTAATCGATCTGTTTTATGTGCAAGATTATGAAGTTATTTGAATATGCTATTCTTCATTATCTTTCAGAGCGGTCCGTGGGACCTTCGCTGCTCGTTAAAGTATCGTAGGTCAGTAGGTCTGTCTGGTCTGGTTGCCCAGATACCAGGGAGAAAGAAAGGAAGGAAGGGGGAACAGCAAAGAGGGTGAAGTGCGCTAGTTAAAGGGGTGCCTTGCTATTGTTAACTGGTATTCGGTCATTCTAAGTTGATCCAAAAATTAATTTAGGAATTTGTATATGTGGCAAAAATCGTAATTTTGGTTGGACCTAGAATTGCAGGATGTGATTTTGCTCACAGTGCGAGCCGCGGTCTTGTGTGCTTGCAAACTTACTTGACTGTGTGATCTACTGACTCACGCAACAGAGGGTTGCTGTGAGATTCCGCTTGACTATATATCGAGGTCTCTGTGAAGGGTCTCGTTGGAGACATACCATGGTGCGTTAGTGATGTTTCGCAAGTATCTGTTCTGCAAAACCTATAGATTACGCCTTGCGAGAAAACACAATGCTGCACATGCGAAAGTAATTGCTGGTCTGATAACCTTCTTGTATAGCCGAACTTTGTTGACCACACTTAATTTTGAGGTTCTACATAGTATAGAGTAGAGTTGTCGGAACGTAATTTGGAATTTAGTTTTTAACACTTCAGTGTGCTTCTGTCAGGACATCCCCCTGTCAAGAGTGACACCGAGACACTTAGCGGGATTTCCCCATGGTATGCGAGCTCCATTCACTGAAACCTCAGGTGGGGTGCCGCTCAGTTTTTTAGTATAATAGATAGTCTGAGTTTTCGAGTAATTAATTTTGATTAGCCACCGAGCTGCCCATTCCAATACCTCATTAACCGTAACCTGTCGTGGACCATAGTCGCGGAACGCGACTGAGCCACCAGTGCATTGTCATCAGCATATAGACTTCACACTCGGTAGGGCAAGCAACATCATGCGTGAAAAGTGAGTAAGGGATTGACCCTAGAACCGAACCCTGAGGACCCCGGCTCTGGTGGGCCGTACTGTCGACAAGACATTATTAATTTTGATCCGAAATTTACTACCTTCAAGGAAGTTTAAGGAACCAACATTGAAAGCCATTTTGAATTAGTTTATAGACAAGGCCCTTGTGGCACACCTTGTCAAATGCCTTCGAAACATCCAGAAGCACGTTGCCAGTACTTCGTTAAGGGTGAAGCCCTTGGTTACTCGCTCCACAAGAATATCCGCTTGTAACTCCGCACTATGCTCAGACCGAAATTCAAATTGCACGTCAGGAATCACAGGGTGATCTGACTAGAAATTCGCAAGGTGATGTAGAATCATCTTTTCAGCGAGCTTAGACGGAGCAGATAGTAGGCTAATGGAACGATAGTCCTGGGGAAATATTGAACCCACCTTTCACGCTGATGGAAAGAACAGGGACCTTAGCATGGCACTTTACGCACCGTGAGCTTTTTAACATGGCCTTTAAGCTCTGCTGGGGTACAATGCGGGATCTCAAGAGATGCCGCTGATGTGCTATGCACCGCTTCAGTCAAAGAATCTTCCGAAAAAGAATATTCCGGCGGCGCCGGGATCACTCTCGCCGTTGGCCCTAAAAGTGTTCATTCTTTCTGCTATAGGTATGTTTTCTGTCACTATTTCAGTATTTCTATTTGGAGAAACAATATTCTTTAATGTTTTCCACATTATTTTAGAATTATTTTTATTGCTATCGATATTTTTATGATAGTATTTTTTCTTTTCCCTCCTGAGAACTGCTAAACACTTATTTCTTGATTTTGTTTATTGTTTCCAATCATGCTCAACGATCTCTTCTCATTTGTTTGTGACAGCAAATTCCACCTGGTTTGTGATAACCATGAAACATGACTGTAAGTATGAACATGACAGGTTAGGAAACCGCTAAGGTATATTTTTTCCTTATTACCAGATAGAGATTAGGTACCTTATACGAGGTTAGCGTCACATTTTGCTTGTGACACCAAATTCCATCGGGTTTGCGATAACCATGGAACATGATTGTAAGTATGCACATAACAGGTTTGGAAACCTGCGATGTACCATTTTTCATTAATAACAGATAGAGATTAGGTACATCCATACGAAACTAGTGTTAAATTTTGCTTATGATAGCAAATTCCATGTGGTTTGTGATAGTCAAGGAACAGGACTGTATTCACATGACAGGCTAGGAAATAGCTGAAGTACCATTTTTCATTAGTAACAGATAGACATTAGGTACATCTATGTGAAACTGGCGTTACATTTTGCTTGTGATTGCAGTTTCTACATGGTTGGTGATAGCCATGGAACAGGACTGTACTTATGAACCCGACAGGTTAGAAAACCAACAAAGTACTAATTTTCAGAAATAACTGAGGTTATGTACCTTTATGCTCGATTAGCATTACATTTTGCGTAGGTGGCACTCGAACAGCAGGACGCTCTGGATCGTGATGTCATAAACCCCATGTACTCTTTCAATAGATGACGCATCACCATGATGCGGCGACTTTAGTGTTACAGGGCTGATATTTCGAGGGCAGGTCTCGTTGATGAATAAATTCTATTCTAGCCACCTAAGGTGAACCCTGAGGCCGCAGCCGCTATAATAGAAATTGTCGCACGCAGGGTTGCGCGCTTGGTCTCTGTACAGCTTGCAGTTGATTAACTGCAATTGGCAATACTCTCTCCTCCATGCTCAAAGACGGAGGGGGCGCATTCTGTTCGGTTATACTGATAGAGATTGCGTTGATAATACCCGGGCAACAGTTAAATACCCCTTTTAAATCAATTACATAAAATGCTGCTTGAACTCGAGTCAAAATTGGGCGCTTTTAGGCCCAGTATTTAATTGTGACAGAAAGGAGGTATCTTTACTTGAGCGGTAGAGGCAGACATTACTAAACTTAGTAAGGGCAATATGGACAGCTTGTCTATACACTGAGTGAAATTGCCATGCACCTGCAGTTAAGGTCTATCTCAGCTGGTGCTTAAAGAAAGAATTTTCAGTTGTAGAATTTCTCGGGATGGGTTCACTGGGCGGGACAAAAATCTGATTGTTTTTGGACACCCGAGCCGAAGATCCTGCATGCCGAACCTTTGAAACTACTGGCAGTTTTCTTCGGTTGTGAATGTTTTGCTCGCGGCTTGAGGGGCTGTCGAATATCATACCCCATTGATAATGCGACTACTACTATATGTCGCACATCAATAGAATGGGGAGATTCCAGTTGGCACGCCTGGATGAGGTTGCGGGAGAGCTATGGCATTTGGGTAAAGAGAGAAATCTTACTGCCGTCGCGTCAAATATAAAATGTAGGTAATACTGATACAGATGAGCGTTTGCGTCAGTGTTACGTGGAAACGGAGTGGGAGCTCCACCTGTTGCATCAACTTGGCTTTGAAGAAAATGAGAGTTTTTAGGCCAGGGGCCGGGGAGGAGTGAGGCGGGAGGGCGCGTTTCCCGCTTTTTTTTCGCTGCGTGCGCGCTTTGAACTCGTGGGTTTCACCGGAAAACGGACGACTACACCTATTCTATTTTCACACAATTAAGATCGAACATCACTAAGGTAAGCTCGTTTCATCATGTAAGTGTACATGTAAAATAAAGTAATAACTAGAAAAGCTGATTCGAGTAAATGGATGTAAAGTGTTTATTTAATTTCCGTTTAATGCTTCAAAAGGCGTTCCAAAATTCGTGAAAGATTTTAATTCAACAGAAAATACAGTTCTGTATGGAATAGCAGGTTTCTTCAGCTATGATAATATATGCGGATTATTTCATCGATTTTTTTCATTAACATTTTGCATAAATGTGGCTGAGATTCGTATTGTATTTCCTTCTCCAATATACTAGTGTATGTGGTCTTATTTCTGTCTGAATTGAACAATGTTGATCTGAGTAACATATGATGTTTAACCTTCATAAACCCGTGGTCAGAAATTTACGTTAAATACCGAGTGGGGTGCAAATGTACCCCAACGTTTTTCTGGCTTATTTAATTACTGCAATTAAAGATTTTCAAAAAATAAACATTCTGATTATAAAAAATATATATTTTACATAAGTATGCTATAACATTGATAAACAAACACATTTGGAAAAAATAATTTGAAATGATTATAATATAAAGAAAGATAACTAAGAAGAAGATAAATATGTGATATTTTAAATAATAATTTAATTATCACACTTATTACAAACGGTTATATTTTTAGAATGTTCTGCACATACGTACTGATTACACCGAATACAAAACTTTCGAGATTTCCTGTCTTTACTTCTGTCGCATAAAAAACATCGCTGCTGTCTCCGAATAGCGGGAGCAGGTGGTTCATTCCTTACAATATTTAATTCTGGCAAAATTGTTAATATGGATTGTTTTATATTGGAATGTAACGACTTGTCATTATGGTATCTACGAATTATATTCTTCTTAATTAATTCTTGGCCCAACTCCAACAGAAACATTCTTCTCCTATCTAAACGATTTTTTTTCCAATCTGAATTTTTCAACATCCATAGTTTATAGGCGTTGATGCCACCAATATCCAGCAGATGAAAAAATATTACCATCGGCCATCGATTACTTTTTCTTTGAGTGGTAAATTCTTTTGCCAATTTATCTGTTGTATCTACTGCACCCTTAGTTTTGTTGTGTAAAATGATGTCCGGTTTATAGTCACATTCCTCTCCACTTATTCTGTCATCGTTATGTTCTGTTGATAAAAGGATAACTGCCGCATTTTTCTTTGGTACGTAAGAAACTAATGCTTTATTTTCCATAAAAGCAAACATGCTTGAAAAATCTTTCTTGTATTTTGCTGGAAGTAGTTCTTTTGGAATATAAGGTTTATTTTTACGCAGTGTTCCACACAAGGTAATGTTTTTATCTAAGAGCTTATTGGCCAACTCAATACTGGTAAAAAAGTTATCAGTAGTTATCCCATATCCTGTAGATAAATGGTTTACCAGGTCTAACACTACCCTTTGACCTTGACCTTTCTCTGGTTTGTTTCCTTCTTTGCCTAAAATTTTAAAATCTATATCTGCATGTTCTAGGACATAGCTTACCTAAATAAATTTGCATATTCACTGTATACGCCAAACTACAATCAGCCAAGGCCCAAATTTTTAATCCATATTTGTCCGGCTTACTCTCCATGTAAACCCGAAAAGGAGCCCTGCCTCGGAACGGAACTAACTGCTCATCCACGCACAAGTGTTCAGATGGATTTAAAGATTTCTTGCAATTAGATACAAAAACATCAAAGACATCTCTGATTGCGGCAAATTTATCAGTGCGTTTTCTTTCTTCTCTTGTTTCAAAATTGTCGAATCTTAGAAAGCACATAATTTGTTGGAATCTGTTGCGAGACATAGTACGTTAGATGATACCAAAGGTCGACATAAAGTTGGGTCTTGGCTGCATAATACGCATATTGGCTCTTTAGCAGCATGCCAGGCTCCAAAAATAATAAGCAAACCAATAAATGCTTCCAGTTCCTCTTGCACAAAAGGAGAAAAAGCCTTCCCATTTCTTGCATAATATGATTCGGCTTTTCTATTCGTCTCCGATAAAATCACATTCATAATATCTTGTGAAAAAAATAGTTCAAAGGATTCTTTTATGCTGGAAAATTGGGAGCTATATCTCGTCAAACCTGTTGGACCAGTTTGTATATTACATTTTCTTCTCTTTGTCCTCGCAGTAAGTGGAACTTTTGCCCACACACTACCATCTTTAGAAGTATAAGTTGGATTTTCTGTATAAGTTATTGATTGGCCAACTACAGCTGAAGAATCTGCCAAATCTTTCTCACTATCACTAACTTGCAAAACATCATCTATCTCATTAGTTTCAGTCACTGTATCAGTCTCTTCGATATCACTTGAACCATTTTCTAGTATCGAATCATTAAAATAATGGTCGTAAATATCCGTTTCTAATATCGCCAATAGTTCTTCGTCTGTTAGCTTATTTTCATTTCGAAATTTCGGTGGTTCACTCATTTTTATAAGCGCGTAGGCGACAATCACTACAAACGTAACGACACACACGAAACCTAAGATTATAATGCGATAATTGCGTGGACACGTTATACATAGCCGCTATTGGGATTCCCCGACAGTGTTGCCGTCACGATACGGGGAATCTCCGTCGTTTGAAAAATTTGGGGTTTATTTATACCCCAGTTAGTATTCAGCGTATGCAAAATATTTACCTATAGTTACATACCGAGCGGGGTGCAGCTGCACCCCAAGGAACAAAAATCACTATAACTTGTTACAATAAATCACAAATTGTTTAAAATTTTTTATACTATATTAGAAACATATTTGAGAAACATAACTCAAAGGAAATTAAATTAAAAAAAATATCTTAGAAAATAACAACAAAAATTGATGTCTGGGGTGCAACTGCACCCCGCTCGGGTTTATGAAGGTTAAGAAGGCGGTGCCACATTTCATAAACCTCGTAAAACGATTCACTGCATGATACTTTTCTTGGTGGCGTACTCTCGTTTTGGTGATTTGAGATACTTCCTAGACCTGTATATGGGTTTCTGTCTGTCTAAATTCGATATCGGGTAACTTGTGGTTTCAATAAGATGGTGCAGCATGCCATACAGTCCGTGAAACAGCTCAATTGCTGCATTAAACATTTCCTGATGTGTACCATCTCGTTTCGGTAGACAAAATTTCCCCCCTAGATCATGTTATTTAACAGGATTTATTTTTATGGCCAAAGTCTACCCTGCCTCGACGAAATTCAACCACATTTATGCAACTGGCCTTGAACACTTTGTTCAAAAAGTGCTTAGTCCCACAAATCTGAGGAGGTCATATATATGTGTTATTCCATATATAACCGTACCACGTATTTTTATGGTTCAATATAGAGATAATCTAAAGAACATGTGTGCTTTATTTCATTCAAGAGTGAGTTTTGGGACACCCTTTATGGTGTGTTAATTTTCAAAGTTAAAGAAATACATTTTATAAGAGCACCTTACCACGAACACTATATAACTGAAGCACCATAGGGAGCGTAAATCAGTGTGAATGGCAACACTGGCTCGGTACCTAGCCAGTGTTGCCATTTATATTTTCTATGATGCTTGATGTTACACAGTGATCAAATGTGTGTTAAGTCATTCATCCTCATCCTCATTATGAATTAAAATAGTTTTTTCGAATTTGCTTATTAAATAGTTAAAGCAATCGTATCTAGTCTACGGAACTTTGGGATGTTAAAAAGTATCAGTTATTTTAAATTAAGCAATATTGTATACGTACATTTATTTTAATCGTCTATTCTCTTATAGAACACGTCCAATCCACATGAAAGACAAATGCCTGTGCTACATAATCGTATTGGCAGCCATAGCTAAGGAATATGAAGTTAATGTAGCATTGCTATCCAAAGATCTAAAAATCGGACTCAAGAAAGCTGTGGAAATATCGAAGATTCTTGCATTTAATACTTCATCAAAAGATAAAAGCATTGTAACACTAAACTTGCCGCTACCTGCTCCTGTTACATTCAATTCTAAGAGAAAAATGAAGTAACAAGTTATATGTGCAATTATTATATTACTGGTATGTTAGGTGTACATATTTTCTTTACAAATAAACAATTTCCTAAAAGATGTTTGAATTGTTGTAATTGCTAATTACATCGACCATATAGCACCTACAAGATTACAGAGGCATTAAAAGCTTACTTTTGTCACATCATAGAAGCATGAGTGCGATATCCAATTTTGCTCAGGCTAGGCGGTGCTAAAGTCGTAGACGGGAAAAGGCATTTGCTTGAGAGGTAAGCCAAACTGTAAAATTATGTAGATAGATTCGATATATAACCTTATCACGTTGAATACCAATTACGAGATATTTCGTAGGTTCTTTACAGGAAGCCAACTACGACTTACCTGGTAGTTTCTTTGCAACGCATAAATTAAATTGGCTTCTTAAACCGGGATTATTGAAAGTGTCGTGGCAATCGTGTACAATATGCCCGCCAAACTAACTAAACTGAATCCAAATTCAAGATGAGATGTAAATAATAACAATTAGCGCGTGATCTTTCGGTAACAGGTGGGGACAACGTCTCTTATTGGTCAATTCGCCATTAAATTTCAAGCGGTCGCCTGGCGGAATAATGCGCGGGGCAGGGGCAGGGCAGGCAGAGTTGCACTCAGGCCACCGTCCGTCGCGTATATCACTGCGTGCTCGTGTTTTCGTATTCACCTTGCTTGGTTGTTGCTGTTGTTGTTGTTAAGTGTATTTGAGTAATTTGTTAAGTTTCTGTTTCTGTTAAATACTATCATCTTTGTTTTACAACACGTTGGTGGTAGTCCATCATTCGTAGGTAGCCTTGAATGCGGCCCTGTACGCCGTCCTTGCTTTTGGCAATCACGCGTCCATTCTATCTTGGGTGTAAATACACTATAGTACCATCTATTTCTATCCTTCCAGATTACCCTCCATAATTTCTGGCCGTCTATAAATCCTCTACGTCAAGTAAATGGACAACTCCGTAATGAAAACAGTGTTCAAGGGTAAACCGTTTTGAACTCTCTTGAATCCTATGAGCCTGGTGGATCACTAATGGTGAGCCTTCCTCACTAGTCAAAGGCATCAGTGGAACGACGGAAACACTTAAATTGGGATCCCAGATGTGATTTAACAATTTTCAATATATAATAATTTTGCTGAACGGTGAATTATATTATCAACGTACTAATACAGAGCACAATTTGGAGATATTGGTATATTGGTAGAGTTTTAGTAGATTACAGATCATAAGAATACTTTCATGCAACCATATATCCAACGACTGATACATTAACAAGTTATTTCTATACGATTCTTTGGATGAGCGCACCCATAACGGCGAGTATGTTTAGTAAACTACAACTTGAGAGAAAATAAAAAAGGGCGCCGGCGAGGCTTGAACATGAACAATTAGTCATCAGCTGTGAAACAACTTTCAGGATCGACTGTTAGAGGCAAATTCAGTCCAACCCACGCAACTGTTCCTTTGTTCTTTCAAACTGCTTGATGTCGTATCCCTGTTTATCAACAATAACTGAGCGATTTTCGCCCAGCTACTTGTCTTGAATATCCTCTTGAGAGAAAAAATGTACGCGGATGGTTTGTCACTTTAGTGAGCAGTGGTAGATAAAAAAAGTAAACTACACAATTTTGGTGACAAACAATTCAATGTAAACATATAGTTAGGATTGGCTCCTTCTAATTTTTTCGAATTCCATTATCTCTAAAAATTGAAAAAACTGCACTCAAATCCTTCTTTCCTTGGGGAGCTACGATGCCACAAAACAGACATACGGATACAAAGTTTCTGAGTACAGAGTTGAAAAGAGAAAAATGGCGCTATCAACTGTAGACATTCAAGAGAATTTACACTATAGTAACTTCTCAGTACCAGGTTCGTTAACAAGCACCAGATATACACTTAAAATACGGTTTCTCCAACCAAACAATGAAGAGCTAGATAGTAATATGTATGTAACGACTATATGAGTTATTCGCACTTTGGAGCAACTTTGAAATTGACTACAACTGCCATAAATTATCTGGATTCCATCGATGGCATCAAGGAGTCACCCAACCATAGTGATGATTCGGCTGTAGATGCGAACTAAGATACCTTTATAGATCCAATAAACAGCTTCACTTTCAGTGAGCACAACCACAGGATATATAAATGATTTTGTTAGAACACTGTTCTTTTTTAAATACTTATACTTTTGACGAAATTACATAAAATTAATTAACAAGAAAAGATAATAAACGATTCATATTTAAAAAACAAAACCTACTTTAATAATTTTAACGAAATTAGAAATCAACTGTTAATAAATTTCGAAAAAAAAAATAAAACACAGAGACTAGGTAAATTGTTGAAAATACCCTCCACCTTGAAGGATACACGCTTCAGCTCTTTTCCTTACTATTGTCGCGCACTCATACTTACTTATGTGTACGAGTATTTAGTATTTCTTATTAAATTGCAAGAAGCTCTTTCACGATCCTTTAGCTCTTCTAAAGTGTTTACTGGGGTGCGGTAAGACAGACTTTTAGGAAAAAGTCCTAAAAACTATTTAAATCCGGGAGCTAGGGGGCATGGTTGGGGTTTCCTACGATCTACCAATTTCGGCGGGCGGGCCGTTATGCATGAACCAAATTCTGTTTCTAATTAAAATTGGTACTTCTTCTAACATTATGGGCCAATCCTCCTCTAGGAAGCTGCGATCATTATTCCATTTAGTCTTTCTGACAGGAAGGAAAAAAGGTCAAATTACGTATTTCCAACAATTTCAGCCTAGACCTTTACCGAAAATTGTTCTTGATGGTTAAATTTTACAATTGCGTGAGGTTTTTAGTCGGCCCAAATATATTGTGGAAATTCTGAATGCGTTTCGGGAAAGTTAGATTCATCAGTAAACATTATTTCACAGTCAAACAAGGAATTAATCGCAATGTTCTTCAAAAAACCATTGAAAAACATTAACGCATGAAGGAAAGTCTCAGGGAAGTAACACTTGGACCTGTTGAATATATACCAGCACAATAGAAAATCGTGCAAAATTTTCCAAACCGAGTGCGAGTGTTTGAGATTACTTTCAATATTTCTAGTACTAAATTCGGGATTTTCATCAAACGAATTTAAAACTGTTTCTTCAATTTCAGGAGTTCCTACTGTCCGATGGGTTAATTTTAATTGATTATTTGGATTTAAAGAACCTGTTTCAGTCATCCTTATAGGTACATTTGCAAATGTTCGCCTATCTAGTATGACTCTCTATTAGGGGACCATCTGCCATCAGCCCAACCATACATCAATTCCTCATTAGCAACAAAATCATTGATGACCAGTAAAAAGAGGAGCGGTCCTAGTATCGACCCTTGCGGAACGCCGATTTGAAGTGGATCACATTCATCTTCTACCTTCAGTCTCATAGATCCATTAGTTATATATGACATCAGTCAAAAAGAAAACCCTCTGATACCTATTGAGTCGAATGCCTTTGATAAATCAAACAGCAATGCTATTACATATCGACCATTGTCAAGATTCTCATAGATGTATTCAAGAAGATGGCAACAATCAATTTCCACAGATTTTTGATATCTGTCGCAGCTCTTAGAGAATTAGCTTATTAGCTAACAAACCGGTCACTTAGCTAAGTAACGCTACTTAGACTAATTCATGACTTTATAGGTGCACGCTCCTTTTTTCTATAAAGCTGAATAAACTAACCTTTTAGAAGAATCCTGAGTATTTTTGTCTATAAAGCTGAAATCTCCAGTTACTTAGACTAATGACGTTCTATGGACCCGCCCATTTTCTATGTGACTGATGTGAGCGTAGCTTATTAGAATACGCAACCTATTTTTCTAATAGACTGGGACCACCAGTTTCTTAGCTAAAAATCCAGAAAGAATCAGTCAATAAGACAACACTGGATAATATAAATCATTTTATACTCGTCTCTGTGGGAAAAATGGACTTAGCAGAATGGCAGGTAGTATGGACCAGCTTGCGCCTGTTCATATGTATCTGAAAATATAAAGTTCTAAATTCATTTTAAACGTATTCAACAAAACACGCCAAATATTTAATATCACGTACCATAGGCTTTATTGAACCAATTTTGATAAAATTAGCACGATACTTACGTTACCTAGGAGTGACTTTGAACCAGTCGCATTATTCTGTATTTTGTCAAAGTCAACGCCTTTTAAACTAAATATTTAATTAGTTTCATCACTTGCATAAAAACCATGAACGGTGCTTATTAGTGACTGAGATATGTTGAGCGCGGACCTTGATTCGTTTGATCGAAATTTTCATTTTTCAGATAGCTAGTCCCTATCAGTTTATTTAAAACAAAACTCAAAATAAATTTCAGGCGTTATTATGTGGAGTAAATCGAAATTTTACAAAATAGCATTTAAGATGAACTACAGTGAAAGCGATTGGTAACTCAAGATGCTATTACCGGTAATAGTTTTTCCCCAATTTATTTTAATTTCATTAAGTGGAGCATCCTGCGAAAACACATGCGTGCGCAAAAACGACTTTTGAAACTTAGAATCGCCTTGCAAAAGTAGTATTTTGGGCTCGCAGTTGCTGTTTTTGTGCAAGTATATCTTATTCTACACAAACCTGTCAAAAACCTCAGATAACTCGAAACATACATGTGAAGGAACATTAATGCATACAACAAACTTGATATTACAGAGGTGTGCTAAATGATTTTAAGAGTGTATAATCGCAGCTCATCGGCTCGAGGAGCAGATGAAACTGTGATTGAAAAATGAATGCCCTATATCAAAAGGACCTTTAAAACATTGATTAACAAGACTGGTGAAATAAGTAAGAAACTTTTAGCTCAAATTAACCCACATATATTACACATTCGCCAAAGGCCTATTCTTGGATGGCACAACGAAATTTCGAGACTACAAGAAAGTTGGAAGAAACTTCTTAGGACTCTGAGTACACAGCATGTATGATAGAAATGGCTTTGACGTTTTCCAAAATACAAAAAGTATATTTGCTTTATTGTATGAAAACCGTAAATGAAATGCTATTAATTGCATTGTGTTCCTTAAACTTAAGTTATTTATCTATTGAGCATTTTCATTCTTGGTTTTAAGCGAAATACAATTTACAAAAATATGTACAGGGTGTTTTATTAAAAGTTAGCGGTATTTACAGGGCATAAAATTTACAAAAAACTGACATAAAAAGTTCATATAATTATGAGTCATAAAATGCCCCCTTACCCACAGACAGGCTGTTGAAATTTCAGCTATATCTTCGAAGTAAATTGTTGGGTTTGCGCGGTAACATTTTTTTTTTAAATTTCGATAGTGGCCTCACATTCGAGACAAAATAGGACACGTTCCTTCGTGCGGTAAATAACGGACCCATGGTATAGAAAGCTTTTTCTCAAAAACGGAGTTTTTAACCAGATAGTGGGTAATGAAAGTTTAATTCGTACGCTATTGTATCGTACTAAAGTGCTTATACAGGTATGTCTGGGCGCAAAAAGAACTCTCAAAAGTTGGCCTCTTGTTGGCCTACCGATCAAAGTTATTAAATGGTTTAAAATAAACTAAACTTAAAATACTGTTTATAGTCTTGTAAAGGAAGACTTGAACTTCAACTTATAGACTTGTCAACTCCAAAAATAATAATGTTTAACCGGTTTTTCAGGCATTGGAAGTGGAAAACGATAAACTTTAGGGAAGACTTACGAAGTACCTTTTTTGTGCATACTGGAATGAAGAGAAAAAACTCCCGCCAGCCTCTAGAAGTAGCCATGAATTGAAAATCGATATTTTTGAGGTTGACAAGTGTTCAAATTGAAGATGAAACCATCCAAAAGAGTATTTTAGGCTGAAGGGATTTTAAATTATACTTGCTTGGAAGGCTAACAAGAAGTAGACTTTCGATTTTCGCAGACTGTACATATCAACTGGTGTTTGATTATAATTAAAAATTAATGAATTGATTGTATATTATACATTGTTCACTTGGTTGTTCTCTTATTGGCTGATTCCTCATGGCTTTTTCGCTGAGTAACTGGTGGTTTCAGTCTTGCATTTTCTAATAAGCTGGGCTTACCTTAGATACAAAAAATAGGCGAGTCCATAGAACGTCATTAGTCTAAGTAACTGGTGATTTCAGCTTGATATACAAAAAATTCTTCTAAAAGGCTTGTTTATTCTATAGAAAAAAGGGGCGTGAACTTATAAAGTCATTAGTCTAAGTAGCCAATTCTCTAAGAACCTACGCCATATCTAAAACCCTGTTGAGAAGGAGAAAGAATCTTCTTACTCTCAACAAAAGAACATATACTGTTGTAAACGATCCTTTCGAAAATTATTCGAGATTATGCGAAGAACAGAAATTAGTCTGTAATTATTATCAATATTCTCATGCTCACTTTTTTATGCATGGGCACAGCAAGTGCGCATTTGAGTATTTCAGGAAAGTAGCTGGAAAAAATGTATTCATTAAATAAATAAACCAGTTGTTCAACAATATCCTCTATAAAAACGCTAATTAGGTTGAGATATTAATCCATCCAAGCCTAATGAGTTTTTGTTTTTGAGTTCGTTCGTAGTTTTCAGAATTTCATCACAAGTTGGGTAAAAAAATGTACTACTCATTAAAGTCATTAGTTGTACAGGGTAAGAAAATATTGGATCCAAGATAGAAATGTTGTTGGGTACAACGTCGGAAAAGAAGTTAGCAAAATATTTCACTATTTGGTTATTATCAGTTTATTCAATTTGTTGGTTTTGCCTAGCCTGTTGTTTACTATCTTCCATATTTCTTTGGGCTTGCTTTTTGATCTGCCTATTCTACTACCATAGTATTGTTTCTTTACCACAGCTAGCAAGTTTTTATACTTGCGCTTCTCTGTACAGTATAGTTCATGGATTCCACTAACATTCAGATTAGTCATTAGCCAGTATAGGTTTTTGATATTGTTTCTTACCAAAATAATATATGAGTTGATCCACTTTTGTTTCCTCTGTTATGTGAACAACAAAACGTTTTTTTAGAGGGCAACTGACTTCTACGTACCAATATTCAATGTCTCCATGAGAAATTCAGAGGACTTCTCTAGGCTGACAATAGAATTTAAAGTAGCCCAGTCAGTCTTAGAAATATGAAATTTTAGAGAATTTAGATTACCTTGAGGTAAGTCTCTAAAGCTACGATATTGACATTCATGCACTTTTTGAGTAACACTTTGCTTTGCAGTAAATAGCTCACAACATATGTCTTGTACCGGATAATCAGTTACCATGAAATCAATGGCAGATGAAGATATGTATGTCCCAGTGAATTGGTGTACACTCTTGTGTAGTCATTTGTTGTTATTAGTAGATTGAATGACTCAAAAACATCCAGTAGCAATTTAGTGGAAAGGAACTGTGTTTTTAAATCAATGTTGAAATTCGCACAGGGTACCACATATTTTGAGATATTAGACGCTATTAAGATTGCTGATGACATTGTATTAAATGAAATGTTGACATGGCCACTAGGTGGTCTATACAGAAAAAAATAAAAAAAATGTCTGACGGCTCGAGTCCAATGTGTACGAGAGAGAAGCGCGAGAAGTGAGAATCAACATGTTGGAAAGAGATAGAAGCCGGCTGAAGAGCGAAGGTCATCACCACATTGCCTAGCGACGGTGACGCAGAAGGTCGTGCAATCTGCCGCGTTGCCAATGTGTTACACCAGAAAATTTTCTACAATATGTTAGCTTACTGTCAAACCTAGGAATGAGGTCTTTCAAATATTCAATTTAATATTTTATTTTCATTTTGATTAGAATTATTTCATTATTTAGTATACCGATAATAATTCGGATTCTCATGTTAATCAACTGGCAGCAACAGTGTTTTAATTTTTTATAGAATTATCTTTGATTTCCACCGATGGTGATAAAATCAATAAATCCTGAGTTTCTGTTTCATTTTGCGACAGGAAAATGTAACAAATGCGTGTACGCAGGTGAAAGTTATTTCGATCCGGAATCGATTCTAAACAGATTCGACACAATTCACAATAATTCAAAAATGTGTACGCTCAAAAAAGCGATGATTTGGGCGTAACGATTAACCTAACTCGTATTTTCAATATACATCTCAATTCAAGGAACTGGTTCACTATCCAGGCGGCTTCTATCTCTTTCTAACATATGTGTCTATACGCTTTTCTCTCTCCTACACATTGAACTCAAGGTTCTCAGTGTATGCAGTAATAACAGTAACACATATGGTGCTCCGTGAATACCCCTGCGGATCCGGATATTTGGTACAGGGATAGATTATAGCCTGGAATAATTCATTTATGAGCAGATTTGATCTGTTGAATTTTTTAGCTCGGCCCGCTGTTTTCACCTAAAAAATAAAATCTACTTCTCTGCATGGTGGTATTGTCGTATTCACGATTTTACTAAGATCATGCAGACAAATGGTTTTTAAGATGAATCAGTGGCGAACCATCCATGTCTGCGAAACTACGCAGGTGAAATTCCGTACGAATCTCACTGGTCGAAATTAAAAAAGTGCTGAATGAAATATATGTGTGGTATTATAGATATTAATAATAAATGATTTATTTTCCTCTCAAAATGGGCCCAAAAGTGACTCTCTTAAATATTGATATTCAATCAGGAGAGACACTGTATACATATAAACTTTATCATTTATTTTGTCCAATTCAGTAGGTATGTATATCTAAAAATGAAATTGACTATAATAAAGTTTTGGACAAGTTAATCTTTTTTCGTTTAAATTAAACGTGGTAACGACGTATGATAAAAACATTTGTTGTAAAATAGGCATAATAAAAATATTTGCCCCAGGCTTCTGCGAATGAACGATGAATCAGCCTTGAAAGAACAAATGACTCACCCATAACATTATTCACGTTAAACAGTTTTAGTCAATGAACTGTGATCAAGACCAAGATAATCGTCTATCTGAAAAGCACTTGAGGAACGTTGACTCACCCACTGGTCATCTAGCATAGATAAGCGACGAGGTATATAGATTAAAGAAAGGATATTTTAAATTAGCTTGTAAGTCAGTCGTAGTGCAGTGATCATTTGTATGGTGTCTTTAGTACAAAGCGGAAACATGCCTAGTATTTTCGTCGGTGCGATTTTGGTGATTCTGGCCTTTGGCCAGGTAGAAATGCACTCTTATCATTTAGGAGCTTGCCCTACTATAGAACCAGAAACTAATTTTGATATGAACAGGGTAAGTAAGTGATTTTACACTTTCAGTACCTACCCTTTTTTAAAGCGATTTAAAGGAATTTTTGTTTTCTATCGTTGTACCTTCATGCGTATATGATTAAATCAGAAATTGAGTTTGGTGTGAATTCATTTTTGATTGTAAAGATCTAACTCTAGTCTTTTAGCATATTATTGTTTGTCTTCTACATAGTTTAGCTTTGACTTGTCGACCTCTGTACCATTCATTATTTTTCAGGAGTCGCTTTATATTTTGCAACTTGTGTTTATGAATACATGATGAAGAGAAAGGCATTTATAGGTGATTTAAAAAAAATGACGATATACAATTGGTCATTAATCTAAATAAATGATGAGTCGAGATTTTGTAAACTAAATTTTCCTACGAGGTGCGCGTAGGCACAGTTGTCTAAATTCACAGACGAAATATTAGATTAAAGAAAAATATATAGTATCAGCGTCCATAAATACGCAAAATCTGTACGATACTAAATCAACATATTCTCAAAAGCAACAAAAGGAGCTTTCATCAATATCGTTACCGCGAAGTAATTTGTTGTTTTAAAGTATTTCCCTCACACAAAGAACTAGTTTACTCATTTACATCAGTATGGCATCTATCTCCGTAATTTTTGTAACCATTACTTGCCATTTTCGAAGCTCCAACGCAAAACAAAAATTTGAGTACCAGAATTGATATAAATAACTCAATAATTAATGTTTCTCCGACTTCAAATTTAATAATCATTTTTAACCACGCCAAAAAAGATCAAAAACATGAAAAACAGTGGGATATTTTGGTACTTTTTAAAATTTTTCCTTCAAGTTTTTTTTATACTAACAGAAAGACGATGGTACATTTCATAATGTATTAAAGAAATCGAAATAAGCAGTGTTAAAGTAGCTATCTAGCTATTACTTTTCTAATTAACGGTCAAATTGTCGAGCCGCCGTTATTCATAAAATCGTTTGTTTATTAGAGCCTTTTACCCATGAAGACTATTGATCAAAATGGTATGGAGGCCAACATACGAAAATTCCAGCCAATTTGACTAGGGAATTATTTCTCATGAGTATTGTAATTATCTGGATACTCTTAGTTCGGAAAATACTGATACTTCCGCCCATGGAGACTTTCAGAGATTCATCAGATGGATCAAGTATTATACTAGCTACTAAGTTTCTGATCAATGGCGAAAGAAATCACAAAATAAAGTTGGTGTATTTCGTAGGCTTATATTTACTTGTTGATTGACAGTTTACAGATTTTCAAAATTGATCCCACAGCATATCTTTAAACCTCGTCAATCGTAAGTGAGGTATCGTAGTTATAAATCCGCTAGAGAAACAGCCTGATGGAAATGAGGCCATGTTTTCTTGATAAAATAACGAAAAGAAAAAAAAAGTGACTTGAAAGTCGACAATTTTCGCTATCACATCCTATTGGTAGGAAGTAAAGTGACTCACATGTCATATCATTATAAAGTGTGATAAATGATAAGTAGTGTTCGCTAAAAGACTAACTTATGCCATCATACTCTGTTTAGTATTTCTTCAAAATATGTATTAAGAATCTGTTACAATGGACTTAAATATTTTTATCTCTATACATATAGTGTATGACGTCGTGTAATTGTTAAATTGCTTTTATCTTTAACTCCGATGGCATCGCCTTGAACATCTTTCAAATGTTTTGCAAAGACTTTAAAATAAAATTAGTCCAGGAACTATATTCGCATCCATTCGGAAAAATATTCTGATTCTATTATATGCATAATCTTATCCCTTTTAAAGAATCTGCATATTTCCAAGCCCAAATCCACGTCAAAAAGTGTTCAAAACATTCCAAAAGATAGCTTTTTCGCTCCGAACATGGTTTTTTAGGTTTTTTTGGTTCATTTCGAATAAAAGGTACTTATGAGTCTTTCGGGACATAAGCGATTCAATACTCGAAAAAGTACAAAATGTTCCATTTCGGCACCGAAAAACACTATGAAAAAAGTTCCTAAATATTCTTCATACAAAGTCCCCAAGTACTTTAAGGGGTATTCTTATTATAATCCTTTGATTTTTAATTGTCAAACACGCGTTTAATGTATGTGTATATTTTGGGTGAGCGCGCGCTTGATTAATAAAACACAGGTTTACAATTAAAACACCCACGCAAATTCGTGTTTGAAGAATATTTAAGAACTTTGGCGACCTTAAAATTTTCGTTTTTTCATATGGGTTTTCGGGGTCGGATATGGCATGATTTCATAGAAAATTTTATAAGAACATTTTCTGTTCAGAATGGCCGATAAAAACTAAGTAAACTTTTTGGGATTTGTTTAAAAAGATTGTCAAACAAATTTTAGCACAATTTCGGATCTCTTAATATGCAGATTCTTCTTTGTCCCTTTTAAAGAATATTGTGCCCAAAAATCATCGAATACCAGTGTGTATAATCATAATAATTCTTCTATGCTTTCAGATGTTGGGTATTTGGTACGTAATCGAAAAGACAAGTACGGCGAGTAGTTGCATCGTGTACAACATATCGAGGACCGAAGAACCCGCAGAATACACAATAGAAGAAATCAGCCAGCATTTCCTACTTGCACTTACGCCACTTAAGCACGGTTACCATTATGCTGGAACACTGAAGGTTCCTGACACAGCTGTTCCTGCAAAGATGACTGTTAAGTTTCCTTTAAGTAAGCATACTATTCGTGATATTTTTTGGTTCTGTATTGTTTTTATTTTGCACAGTTGATATTTGTCAAGGACTGATTGAAATTGAGGGCTCGTTCTAGAGCCCTAATGTAGACTTGATCCGTTCAGCCATGGATAGCGTGATTGAGTAACAAACATCCACACCTTCTCATTTATAATATTAGCCGTGACTTCGTACACTTAAAATTGTTGAAATAACTCAACTTTTGAAATCTACAAGTTGGATGCAACCAAATTTTGTATTGTAAAAAATACCTCTCTGGCTATATAGTCGTTAGTTAGAAAAGGTAAATACAGGGTGCGGCAGAGAGGATGGACGGTTTTAAAAAAATCATAAAATAGTTAATTTTTACTCGAAAAAAATGTATTGATGGAATCAGGTTCACAAGGAAATAGCATTTGAGACAGTCAAGTGTGGAAAATCACATCAGGCATGTGGTGGCCGAAATCGTTGATGCAGTGCTGGAGGCGCTTTTTTAAGTTCGCGTAGACTTTCTCCAACATCGCTCTCTCAACTTGGGTGACTTCCACCCGAATTCCGCCCTTCAAGAGATCGGGGCTTGTTCGCGTATACTCTAGCCTTGAGGTATCCCCATAAGAAAAAATCGCATATGGATAAATCTGGGGACCGAGGAGGCCAATGAACATCGCCAAACCTGGAAATAAGGCGACCCGGGAAGAGAGGGCGAATAACGTCCATGGATGCTCGGGCTGTGTGGGCGGTCGCCCCATCCTGCTGGAACCACACACGTCGGATTGGAACACGTCGCCGTCGTAATTCAGGGAGAAAGAAGTTGGTGATCATGTCGACGTAGCGTTCTGAGTTCACGGTAACATCACGACCATTACCGTCTTCGAAGAAGTAAGGGCCAATGCTGCAACTTTGCGATACAGTGCACCAAACCATTACTTTTGAGCTGTGCAGCGGTCTTTCATGTAACTGTTGCGGATTTTCATTAGCCCAATAACGACAATTCTGCTGGTTAACCATGCTGTTTAGGTGAAAGTGGGCTTCGTCACTCATAAACAAAATGAGGTTCTCATTTTGATCGATCAGTGCTTCCATCTCACGTGCGAAGTTCATTCGTTGTGCATAATCTCCGGGCTGTAACTGTTGCACAATGGCCAATTTGTAGGGGTGAAAGCGGAGATCCATATGCAAAATTCGCCTTACCGAACGATCACTAAGGCGAAGTGCAGCAGCATGTTTCCGGGCAGATCGAGTCGGACTGCGAAGAAAGACCTGTCAAACGCGTTCAACATTTTCAGGTGTTCGAACTGTTCGCGGCGCTCCTCTTGGTCTTCTGTTGATCAGTTCACCACGCCTGCGAAGTGATTCAACCCAACGAAGGATGGTGTTTCGAGAGGGAACAGCTCTATTCCGATGAATGTTGAAGTGGCGACGAAACTCACGCTGTACGACGATGACTGACTCATTATTTCGGACGAAACAATCATAGGCGAAAACGCGGTGCTAAACCGTCCAAGGCTCCATAACGACAACTAGTAAAATAATGCTAGGATCTCACGAGTCAAACGGCACCCTCCCCACCTCTCTCGTAGACGGAGGCGGAGAGTACTACCCATCCCAAAAACGTCCGTCCTCTCTGCCGCACCCTGTATAAAATAAAATTGTGACAGCCCGTAACCCCATTTACGCACATGACACAAAATCCATTCTCAGTTTAAGTTTATCTTTAGGGTATTGTCAGTTGTAGGTATCTTGCAGGATTTTCAAACAAACCCGCAAGTACCCTTTAACGCTCATAGTACCACCCTGTCACAAAATCCGTTAACTGATATCTACTGCTTACCAACCACCACCTTCTCTAATTATCTCCAGTAGAAAAACACATAACTTTCGTACAAACTTGTAAATGTCTCTATCCCCCTTTAAGCTTCGCAAAATCCTAACATGTCCTGTCCATAAGCTACCTTTCTGTCAAATTTCATGTTCATAGATCAAATAGTTATCGAGATTTCGTGATACACTTTTTTGTCTGCCCATATTTGTATCTCAAACTTCTATTCCTCCAAATCGGTTCCGCCGTTTTGACGTGAAAACGGAACAAACATACAAACATACTTCCGCATTTATGATAAAATGCAGTAAATACACGATGCAAATGCCCTATTTATATACCCTCACTTATTACGATCCTTCCAAGGACTAAGCGCTTCCGCGCCAGACATCTCATGTCAAATTCCATCAAGCCGTTTGATCTGTAGCCCGGAGAATTGATAATTCAAAGTTCTTTCACTGGTTAAAAGGTAGTCTGTGTGCTATTAAAGACTATAGACTATCTCTGTACCAAATTTCATTCAAATCCGTTCGCCATTTTGACGTGATTGAGTAATAAACATCCACACATTCTCATTTATAATATTAGTAGGGATTTTTCATAAGTAATATCATGACATCTAATTTTTCCGAAAAAAATCGAAAAAACACGCTGCTAAGTAATAACAAGAAGCATGAGTACTGGTGGCAACAAATTTTTGCACTTGCACGAATGTTTTTTGTTAAAAAAATATTACTTTGCATTGTGTTTTTTCAATTTTTTTCATAGATTAGATGCCCGAATGATATTTGACAAAACTATTTCATGAGTAACAGATTGTTCTGCATACACATAGCTTACAAAAAATTTATTGACAATAAAAAGGTATTGTAATTTTTGGTGATATCAGATGTGAAGTTTTGCCGCGGGTAAACTCGAAAAAACTGCTGACAGGTGCTGTCATACAAGTTTTCCATCTAGAAACCATTTTTAATTAAAAATTGCGCGTTTGTTGTTGTTAGAAAATTAAGGTGAGGGAAATAGTAATTTATAATATTAGTAGGGATTAATAGGGAAGTATAACCAGAGAATGTTTTAAGAAGTTTTGGACTAAATATTGGATTAAATTGTTGCGCATGAAAGGCAGGGTCGCTCCTTTAGTATCATACATCTATATTGCATACCGCTCTAGGAATATTCTTTTTTCTAGGTGTAGCAGGTACCTCATCTTTCACTGTATTTGCGACAGACTTCGATACATATGCTGGAATATTCACATGCCAAAAGTTGACTTTTGCTCATAGGCAATCAGCGACGATTTTGTCTAGACGTAGAACTCTGGACAAAATGTACATTGACAAAGTAAGTAAACCAAAAATCAACCTTCTCTAATACTTACTCCCTGATGCTGTATGCGGCTTCGATTCCTCTAAAACAGTATTGAAACTCCAAATACAAAATAAGCTTCTAATGCATATACTGTAATTAAGTATTATTTGACGTTGACTCAAGTTCCTTTCTGTACTTTTTCAAATTTGGAAGTCGGATATCCTGAAAATGATCTGCCAGAGTTGGATGGTAATGAATAAGTGCAGAAGAGTACTTTCATACACGAAACTCCATCTGGAAGTGAATTGCTTCCGGCGTGGATGTCATGAATTCTATAGCCTTCTAAAATATGGATAGTGATCATACATTTTCTTCAAAGATTTCGGGATTCCATCTATTTTTTTGACATATACCATGAAAACGGTTGCCTCATTAATATTGTTACCATCAGAAGAAGCACAAACGAAGAAACTTTATCAACATCTAGTCTAGACATACCACTGTCGCTTATGTGGGTCGCCTTATGCAGAATACTTCAACAAAATTGATTATTTACATATCTGAAAAGCCATGTAGCAACTTCCAGCAATAAAAGAAGTCCCTCTGTTCTATTGGCGGTATCCGTTAACCATATTAACCTATTTAACCTTCCCATAGCTTCGTAACAAACTGGCCAACGCCCAAATCGACCCATTCGAGCTGTCCATCATCAAGCAGAAGGACTGTCCCAAAGATCCGAATGAGGGCTACAACATCAACATTAATGACGAGACGATTTCAGCTAAGGCAGCTGCTGACGTTATCAGAAAGGCTGGAGAAAAGATCGGAGATGGAGTAGAGTACATTTCCGGAAAGACTAAGGATGCTGTTGAGAAGATATATGACAGGTAGACACTTGTAATTTCACTAAAAACTTCAGACTCTCCTTAAGCATGTCTAATACATGTTGCTTATGACTGGATAATTCTTACTGGAGCTTAAACTGTCCAGTGGCGTCTTGAACGGGATCTGGACGAATATTTGTGACAAAAAAATGTACGCCACTGACTTTTGTGCACTTTTTACGTTCTTTGGATAAAGTATAAGGAAATACTTTTTTGTCTCTTAACCTTTTTTCGTCTATTGCTTAGTTTTCGAGAAAAAAGTCAACTTAATTGCATATCCCTGGACCACACAAAGAATATGGGGAAAAGTTTCTTTTGGAAATTATTATTTTTTTATATTTTTTGTATTACTAATTATTATTGAAAATACCTGGCGTATTTTTTATTGTGTGTTTATGGCAGCGAGAAATCAGATGAAGTCAAAAACGGTAAGCATTTATAACTACTGATGGCACATATTTCAAGAAACTGTGATTTAGTAATTGATATTTCTAAATCACGAATCACCACTGTTATAAAATACCGTGAAACAGCGTGACGTGATCAGACTTGGGGAACTAGGCGCTTTATGGCAACGACGAATGGTGCGCGAGAGCGATATCGTGCCTTATAGGTTTTGGTATCTCGAGCCATCGCGGCGTTTTGCTCAGAATATCAGTGAATCAGTATAACCATAACCCCTATCCTTCTTCTTAAAGATTACTATAAACATTGATTAACGTACTCTACCTGAAGATAGTCAACCTAATGTTATATTCCCGCGTCCAAAAAATTATCTGAGATAAAATGAGATACCGCAGCGTTACCTATATCTATATTACTGTAGCCAACTACAGGAGAACATACGGGAATATAGGCAGCGCCATTTATGAGACACTAACCTTTCTAAACTATATATAGTAGAAAAATTGCTAAGACAAATTCTCATATTGGACGCTAGGGTATCTCATTCTGTCTCGGGTAATTTTTGGATGCGGGAATATCAGGTTGGCTATCTTCAGGTAGAAAAAGTTAATCAATGCTACGAGCTGGTGACGATTCAGTTAGCTCCCAAATGATAAAAATACCCCTTGTTTGCGAAATAACTGTAAAGTCTGGTTTTATTGATGCAAGTTATTCAAGGGGGTATTTTAAACATGGACGCATAAAATGGATACACCAAATTTTATGGGAAAACTTTTTATTCGACAATAAAGAATGAGAAAACGTGTTTTTTCGGATTCAATCGAAAGTGTTGCTGGAAACAGAAAAACTTTCCAAATAAGATTTTTAGGTATTTATAAGATCTAAAAGACCACACGTGAAAAGATCCGTTTAATAGTAAAGAAGTTATGGCCGAAAAACTAGGCAAAATGCAGGTTTTGGCATTTTCTGCTAATGCGACGACAATTCCACGCAGCTACTTGAAATTCTTCATATCCGTAGGCTTCATACTTCTAGGTAACCACAACAAAATTGGAGTCGACTGTTCAAGTAGTCTTTGAGAATTTCTGATTGTTTATCCCAAAACACCTGTCTTCCGGCCATCACTACTAGTTTACTGAGCAATATACAGGGTTCGTTCAAACTGCATTCTATAGCAAAATACACCAGTTTACCTTGCCGACATAAACATTTCGTATTTGTGAGTAATTGAACAGATTCGCTACGATATTCGAAAAACATAGGTTATTATACACATTTTAAAACAAAGCGGATGTGTCTATCACCTTTTGTTGCGAAGAAAACAATTTTTTTCAAGATTTCTTCATACTCTTGTGTATACATATTTAGAGTTGAAATTCTTACACGGTCACAGATGAGCCCTAAAGTTTATAAAAATAAATATTTGATACCTAAATGCGCTGAACTGTTTATAAAGTTAGCACGCAAAATGAAGACACAATTATGTTTCAATCTGTCTTACCCTAGTTAGTATGCAGCATGTGCTAAATAGTTGCATTATTGATCACTGCATGACTTGGTCAAATAAGTAGGTCAGATAATGCAGTTTTTTTACGAAGGAATACAGGTATAATTCCCTGGACCTTTTTTCTAAAAGCTTTAGTATAGTATAGGTCTGTTTTCGAAATCTCGTACGATTAAAACGACTGCGAGTTCAAAATATTGGAAAATAAACTCGAGGAAACGAAAAAACAGTAGACATATATCAACCAATTCTAGCGAACTGACCGTCTTCAAAATTAGGAAAAACTGCTCGGTATTAGTCCCTAATCCATAATTTAAAGTTTCAGCATTTATCTTGTATAGTTTTCAAGAGTACTTTAATTGTTTATAATAGATTTGATAAGCCTTCAACGTTTGCTTGACATTTGTCAGTGCCAGGTCTGGTGGTATACAGGTCCAGTAAACCAAGAGGCGTCTTAGCGTAGTGGGAAAGAGCGGTGATTTCTGAACCGCAGGACGGAGGTTCAAATACACAAAGCTCCTTTTTTTTGCTATCATTTTTTTTTTCAAATTTGGAGAAATATTTTTTTCACATTATGTGTGCTTTTATTGCGATCAAACAGTTTTTCGCACGCCATAGAGAATGTAATCTTACAAACAGGAAACCAGCGGTATACGTATGATTATTTATAATTTTTCTTTTATATTACTTTGATGAAATTTCAGAAACTATGTCGGATCATAGCAGATCTTTTGTGAAAACATACATCTTGGAAGTGTAAATTATTAACCAACAATAATGAAATACATCCAAAATTTTGTTTGTGACAATACGCCCAAGTTTTTGATACGTCAAATTAGGCACCTCTTGGAGCCGCAGAGGATGCTTATAAAATTAAGTGAGTTAACCCGCAGTTTTTATTTTATCAAGTAACTGTTAAGCGTAGAATCTTATTTCATCGACAGCGTAGACATTTTTTGAATAGTTTGTATTTCTTAATTTCGGATGTCTTTCATTATTGTTGGTTAATAATGTACACATCCAAGGTAAATGTTTTCAAAAATTATCAGCTATGAACATAGTGCTTCTGAAATTTCATCAAAGTAGTATAACAAAAATTTTAATATATATATATATATATATTGAGACGTGGTCATTGTCGTTCAGACCAGTTAGGTGAAAAATTAAACCTTCCGCCTTTTGTAGGGTACTTCGACAAAATTTAAGCAAGGAGGACTCTTTATACTTTTTTAATCTCTCTAGCTTTCAATGGTCTTTGCCATCATCATCAGGAGCTGCAATTACATTGATAAAAGTAGCAACAATTGTGTAAAATGAATTTAAATTAACTTACAGTAGTATGTGAGGATGTTGCTAAATGTTATTTACGTTAAGGATGAGGGAAACACCCAGTAACATGGTGAAAGCTGGATCCATGGTACAATAGTCAAAATTATACAAACTACACACAGCTGTATGACAAGAACAAATTAAAAACAGATTAAAAATATTTAAAACGAAAGTTAAGCATTACATCGTGAAGCCACTTGATGAATGCACAAAATGGTGGGCATAGAATCATGAGTAAGATGAACCTTTTGACAGATGGCAGAAGATTAGCAGTGTCCGTGTAGATGGATGGAACGAAAATTCTTTTGTAAGGCATGTGCTATGTTGCCAAAGCACTTCAGATTTTTTTTTTTATACTCCAACTACCACGAAGGCCTAAGGCCTAAGCACCCATTGGGTACCGTGGGGCTATGGGGGATACATGGGAAAGGGGGGGACGCCACACGGACTCTGGCGAGGGAACACGTGTGCATGCAACATGCACACATTCTGGCTCCGCCTACGAGAACCGCCGGCTGGTACCTCCGCGTTCGACAGTCAGAGACCATCTACCACCTACGATGACACACGAGATGGTGTGATTTTCAAGATATGTTGGGTAAGAACTTGTCAAACCGACCAGAGGCAGTTGAACTAACTATATTATCATGAGATGGGCAATTGAATTAACAGTTATTATTTAATTATGAGAAAACAATTATTCAAATTTGAATGGAATGGAATTTTTTGGTGGAACGCTCAGTTGCTTAACATCTGTCTTCTTATTGATACAGTTGTCATTCATGAAAATGTGGGATATCTTCAGGAATAAACGTTTTGATAGGTGTTTTTTTTTATCAAGAACTTTGATACTTGTGTGCCCTGTTGTGTTGACATGAGATGCCAGAGCACATATCTCGGGATGAAGCCTAGAATCACTTTTGTGTGATGTAATCCTTCCTTTTAAATATCTGGAGGTCTGAGCTATGTATATTTGGTTGCAATTGTTGCAATTGATAGAGTAGACTGTGTTGGTTAAGCCAAGCAGCGGGACTCTGTCTTTCATCTTTGAAAAAATGCAGTTTATAGTGAGGACGGATTTGCAAGCAATTCGACAGTTCAACGCGTATGAGCAAAAATGAAAATTCGAAGTAACACCAAGTAACAACAAAGATAAAAGCTGAGGTGTGTAATTTTTTTTTATACAAAATTTAGTACTACAAATTTCAAAATGGCGGATTGACGGGTTGACGAAGTGGACGGTTTTTCTGGACAAAACACCTTACATCTCAGTAACTAATTACCAAAATCCCATAGTGTGTTATATCAATCTTCTTCTTTTGAATTGGTTTATCCAAATATGCAATAAAATTTGAGGCATTCCATTTAAAAAATCACAACTTTGATATGTAGCTCAAAATTGGGACACCATGTATAATTGCCAATATTTTAGAAATATGTCCTCAAATGTCATGTATAACATGCCATAAATAAATTTTCCCAATATGTATTTGTTTATGAGTAATATTCCGTCCACACATGGATGGGCCACCGCTGGTTTCCTGTTTACAAACTTCCATTGTCTATGGCGTGCGAAAAACTGTTTGATCGCTATAAAAGTACTCATAATGTGAAAAAACATTTATTTCTCCAAATTTGAAAAAAAATGAGCTTAGTGGATTTGAAGCTCCGTCCTGAGGTTCGGAAATCGCCGTTCTCTCTCATTACTCTACGACGCCTCTTGGTTTACTGGATCTTTATACCACTACATTTGGCACTGACAAATGTCAAACGAACGTTGAAGGCATATCAAATGTGTTATAGACAATTAGAATACTCTTGAAAACTATACATGATACAATGCTGAAACTTTAAATAATAATGTATTAGGGACTAATACCGAGCATTTTGCCTAATTTTGAAAGTGTCCAGCTCGCTACAATTGGTTGATATTTGTCGACTGTTTTTTCGTTTCCTCGAGTTTATTTTCCAATGTGTTGAACTCGCAGTCGTTTTAATCGTACAAGACTTCGAAAACAGACGTATACTATACTAAAACTTTTAGAAAAAAGGCACAGGTAATTATATTTCTTCGTAAAGGCTTCCTTGATTTCGATAATATTATGTGTTCTTCGATAAGGTACTTGTATGTCCTGCTTTAGATTTCCGGCATGCTGATAGTTCTGGCTAGAGGTTATGTTGTTGTTTTGACGTTT